ACAGCTGCAAGTGTTAGTATGCTAAATGGAATATAACCCAAATAGAATGACAGCGTGAAATAAAACTGTAGATATGTAAGTATAAGTACAGGCTTACTTTTAATTATTCACAAGTCTTGTAAAATATTTCTAAGAGAAACCCAGCGACAATTATTCTCCAGTGAATTATGATGCTTCTAAATCAAATGCTCCCTGAGTGGAGCCTTAAGTGGTATCAAGTGTTTATTGATGAGCTAATGGTTTCAGAAAAGCATGTAGTATCAATGCAAATAAAATAATAAAGCCCAGATTTAGCTGCAACTTTTGTGATGTGGCCTAATTTACTGTTTCTCAAAATTGTATGTGCCTCTGAGGATATTGCTAAAATGCAGAATTTGTTTCAATAGATCAGATTGAGCGCTAAGATTATGCACTTCTAATATGCTCCCAGCAGATGATAGCTCTGCCAACTGTTGGGGCAATGCTCTGAAAAGCAAGGGTTAGATCAACATTCCCTAAAGTTAGTTTCACCTAACTTTGAGATATCTTATGGAAAAAGATTGCTTTACCAGGGGTGGCATATTATCTCTCTTGGATTTGTGATGGACATTAGCACCAAAAAATCACAGAGTAAGGAAACAAACTCAGTATTTTTATTGTAGTAAAATAACCTCACATGTAATATATCTGTCCTTTTACATTTTCAAGTGTGCAGTATAATATTAATTGTAACCACAATGTTGTAGAACTGATCTCCACAACTTTTTTGTCTTGCATAACTGAATCTTTATGCTCACTGAAGAGCAACCCTTCCTCTCTTCCTTCCCCAGCTGCTAACAATAACATTTCTACTTTCTGTTTCTATGGATTTTATTACTTTATATATCTCATATTAATAGAATCCAAGACTATTTCACTATAGAATACTTCAAAACACCCAGAACATATATAAGAAATCGTCATATGTAAGATTATATTATTTAGTGAGAGAAGCTAAATTCCTACCAGATCTGCCATTAATGGTTGGATAGTTTTTCATGCCATAGCCATGATTACCAAGCTTGTATTAACACAAAAGAGTAAATAATTGTGATATTTTAGTATAAAATTTAAACTTTAAAATAAGTATTTTGAAATTATAGGTACGGAAAGGAAAACAGCTTTATAGTCAGATGGACACAAATTTGATTCCCATCTTTGTTTCTAATATATTTGCACTCATCAACCTAAGTCATATATTGAATCTTTTTAAGCCTCATTTTTCTTTCTCTGAAAAATGTCTTTTGTAATTCCACTATTATGGAACTTAATAAAATTAAAAATAACATTGTGCCTTATAAAGAGTGAAAATCCAATAAATCAACAAATTGTAGCTCTTTTATGATTACCAAAACTGAATGATTAAAATATAAGGTTGGTGAATTTCACAAATAATGTGTTTCTATTACTACTTAGACTCAGCCTGGGCAAGGTCTTTGGTAAATAATATAAAGTAATACAAAAACTCTACTCTGTGATTAGAATCATGTTTCGACACGCTTTATGAGCTCTTTTTATATAGATTTTTGATAATATGCTTTCAAAATTATTGGCAAATCTATTCTTTGTACTTCGAGCTGGATAATGGAAAATGATTTATACAGTTTTATTGAATTTACAAGGGTTAGAGTAAGCCACATTAATTATTGCTATGTCATTCTTGCAGGCTAGCAGGACCTGAGACAAAACATAAGCCAAACTAAATATAATTAGCATCAAAATGACTCAAGCATGAAAAATAATCAAATGGGTTCTGAAATGTCTTATTCTTGTCAACAAAAGATCATGCTTGTTTGCAAACATTCATTTTAATTGCTTTTCTCCCATTTTCTAAAATGTGAGAAGTATTTTAGTTCCCCTATTATACTTCTCAAATAATATTTTTTGTTATTGACATTACAACCTACACTGTCATAAATAATTAATCTGACTTTTAAAAACTAGGTGATGAAATCTAAGAAATCTTATGGAACAAATGCCAGGTGCCCATTTCCCTAAAAAGTAGTCATTTATTTTTTTCTATCCAAATGTATATTATTCAATGTCAAAGAGTCTTCTGATCAGTTCATTCTCTTTAGAGTATAAATTTTTTCTTCTAAGCTTAGTAATTTTGGGTTGAGTTTAAGGAACAAACTCACCAAAGAAAAAGATGTTTTTACATGGGGATTCTATCCAATTTCCACTCAATAGACCTTGGGTGAGCAGTACTAAGTATTTACCATGGACCCATAATGGTAAAAAAAAAAAAAAAAAAAAAATAGCCCAACAAATTAAAGGGTAGAAAAAAATGAAGAAATTCTAGAAAAGGTGAGTAGGAGAAAACTGAAAGTTTTGTAAGTAGAGCTATAGGGAAGGTGCTGCAATCATAAAGGACTTGGGGTATAGTCGATAATGATAGACAAGGATCAGGTTTCAGTTTGATGGACAAGACATCTACCCATATAGTATGAGCTGAGGGATTCCAATGAGGGAAAGCTAAGACTATATTCTCTGGATATCTGCTAGAAATCACTTCTTCCAATTCCAGTTATACTATGATAGTTCTCCCAGTGGATTTCTGTAAGTGGGAGTCAAAGTCAGAATAAAAGAGCTACCCAGGCTGATTCCAGAAAATGTAGGTCTTCTTCTAGTTGGATCAGGGCTGATGTTTAGCAGGTAGATACCCTTTGGCTCTATTGGCTGTAAATTTATTTTCATACTTCATTAGTATTTGATAAAAAGCTGGTGCCGGGATTACCCATGTGTCCCCTTTACTCAGGTTCATCCCTGGTTATTTATGAATTCCTGAAATCAGGCAAATGAAGGGGTGATATCTAGTAGAAAAGGACATTCCAGGATACTCCAGCATTATGTCTGGTGTAACTTCCGATACATAGATACCTGTGCCAAAGCAGGTGTCAAATATTTGGACTTTCACCCTTGGAGTGGAATATTAGCTGTGGACTTCGAAAAGAAAAGGGGCTTCAATGTTAATGAGAGTCTGAAGTGGGCTCTTTGATGTGAGAATGGGACCAAAAGGGTCCAAAGCAGAATTTTGTCTATTTTAAAATTTGTCTGAATTAAAATAGGTGTGGCAATATAATTAAAATAAAGTTAAACTACAAGCATTTTTCCTTTCATGAGCTTAGATTACAATTATACTAAAGAAAAAGAAACATTTATAATCTTTTCTTCTGTTGTGCTGTGACCGGCATTTACAAATACATTATGAATTGTATTTTCTTTTTTTTTTTTTGACTATTGTGGGCCAGTTTTTTAAAAAAGTATTTCCCAACTCATCTCCTATCACTTCTGGATTGACAAAGTGAAAATCCAGGGCTCTAGCCATAGTTGAACTTGACGGGTTCTTTCATGACCAGATGCCTTGGCACATGCTGCCCCTTTTTCCTGGGATATCTGTCACCTTTTATTATGTAAGTAATACCCCTGAAGCCTTCAAGGTTCAGATCAAATGACATCCCTATCTCCACTGCTCATTCTCTGCACCTGTGGTGTTTCACCTAATGTAGGCATCTACAAACATGCCTAATGAATTATTTCAGACAAACTTTTAAAATTACTTTTATAAACACTTCAGACAAAGTTTTAAAATTACTTTTATAAACATTAAAGAGGAGGAGAGAAATGTGTCTGGCTTTGTAATATACTCATCACATTCTATTAAAAGAATATTCCTTCTGAAGTATTTTTTAAAAAGGTAATTATGTGAGTAAGAAATTAGACAGTCTTATCTTTTTATTTGAAATAGTAAGTTTCAAGTGATCTTGATCTTTAGATAAAAATCTTTTTTTCTTCCTAGTTATTACTTTTTCGCATGTAATTGTCTAACTTTCTATAGCTTTATTTGCACTTCTAGATAGCGTTGTATGAATACATATGCAGGTTCTAATTCTATGACTTGAATTAATCACTTCTTAAGAAAAATACAGATGTCCTTCTGGAGAATGCCATTACGTTAATTATAATGCATTTCCTGATTGCATGAGCGTTGTTTCCCCTCCTAATATATGAAGTTTATAAACAGACCTATGAGATAGATTTTTCTGACATAAGGTCTCTTTTTACTTACCTCAAAATACTTTAAATTAATACAAATTTTATGTAACATGGGATTCAAAGCCAGGCAGTGTGACTCTGGAGTCTGTCCAGCTAATAAGCTCTAGCTTGCACTTCTGCATCAGACATGAAAGGGGGAGGAAACAATGATTGCAAGAGAAGTTTCCAGAGAGCAAGAGGAATTAGAACAGAGTTTTGAAGAATGAAAAAATTTGGATGTGTGTGACAGAGAAGGAAAAGGGAGGTAATCATGAGGAAAGGAGTTACAGGAATATAGAAAGTTAGGAAAATACAACATATATTCATAAGTAGTGCAGTCCAGAGGGACAGGAGTTTTTGTTCAGAATTGTGGGAAAGATAATACATTCACAGTGCTTTGCTGGATATTATTTGATACATTATACCATTACCGCTATTAAAATGAAATGCATCCTGGGGTGCCAGGGTGGCTCAGTTGGTTAAGCGACTGCCTTCGGCTCAGGTCATGATCCTGGAGTCCTGGGATCGAGTCCCGCATCGGGCTCCCTGCTCAGCGGGGAGTCTGCTTCTCCCTCTGACCCTCCCCCCTCTCATGCTCTCTCTCTCTATCTCATTTTCTCTCTCAAATAAATAAATAAAATCTTTAAAAAAAATAAAAAAATAAAAAAATGCATCCTTAAACTCATTGACATAAATTGATTTTAATATTGAAAATTATGTATTATTATATCTTAAATGTCAATGTTATTATTCTTCTGATACTTTCTTCTCACTGGCGTCACCCATTACAGTAAGTTACCATCATATCGTGAATTTACTTGCTACTAGAAAAGAACACTTTTTAAAAGAATATATGCAGTTTGGACAAAAATAAAACCTTCTAGTAAACTTTTCTAGATAAGTATGGAAAATCAAAAGGTGCAGTTCATACCACTGTTTCTTTTCAGGCAAACCAGTGATGATAGTGACAGAGTACATGGAAAATGGATCTTTAGATACATTTTTAAAGGTAGGTTTGAAATACATTTACTTATTCAAAGTGTTGTTTGTATGTTGACTATGATGTTGAAGTTGAAATTGAGCCACTTTAAAGCAGAACTTTTAAATCGATAGAAATATCTGGAGTCAGAATAGTTATATTTCAAAAAAATAAACTTTGGTTTATAAATTGTCTTTTTCAGAAACTTAAACAAATCTAAATCGTATGTCCCTACAGTTTTATTTGTTTGTTAATTTGCCTCCAAAAAAATGAAAGAAAGAGGGGATAAAGGAAGGGGGGAAAAAAACAAAGAAAAGAAGAAGGACAGAAGGAAAGAAAAGGAAAGGGGGGAAAAAAAGAAGCTTTTTTACAAGTACCTAACTTTCTCAGAGTATATAGTATCCGGCAGAGCAAGGAAAAAATGTCTAAAAGGTCCATGCAAATCATCTGTCTTGGTGAAGGGGTCAGATAGGCTCATAACCCATCTGAGAGTCAGCCACTCCTGGTACGAGGGGAATGGTCAGGTAGTAATAGACAATATCACTAATGCTGTCAGATCTTCTGGGTTGCAGGAAAAGATTCTTTTTATGTGCAAGTGTCCAAATTTTAATTGTTGGTAACTCCCTGTATTACTAAATGGCTTGTGCCAGACAATGTAACATATTTGCAGGCCTGATTAAACCCATAGCCTGTTACTTCTTCACATTTCATGTGGCGACTACTACTACTGATTAGGCGAGGTGATAGGACAATGGCCTCTCTGAGGATTATTCCAGGGGCCTGGGCATTGATGACAGCAGTCTACTGACAAGGCCAAGTTTTCTTCTGATCTCCAGCCTCTGCCAGATTCTGTTACCGAATTTCTTATACATATCTTCAAGTTCTCTAGTCTCCTAAGGCCATATCATTCTTATATTTCAAAATAATCATTATTTGGGTCTTATGCTGTGTGTGTCTGTGCTAAGTCCAGTGCCCTTGACAAAGACAGCAAACTGCCAAGAAACACTGACGTTGTCCTGGTCATTGCTCCGTCCTCTTCCTCCCATGTGCTCCTGAATAACCTCTTTTATCTCCTCCAGTCACTTCTTTTTTACCCCAATATGCCCATCCAGCTAGCTTATCTCACACCTCCTCAAAAAAGGTACAGTGTTCATCTAAGGCAGGCACTAGGTTGGAGTGATGAACATACTCCTCTGTTGAATGAGAATAAAGGAGTTACAATGCCAGTTAGGGCAACTAACAGATTTTTGCAAGGGCTTTCAAAGCCTTGATCTGCTTTGACCAGGCAGAGGACTGATTCATGTTATAAAGTTAACGATATATTTCATAACTTTTTCCATTCTCCCTCAGATACAAATTGCATATGAAGTTGGTGAGAGTATTAATTTGGGGCTTGAAGACAGATCCTTTCAAATTTTCCCCCAGTGATTGTTGTTGCTGGATTAATATTTCTACATCATTTTAATAGAAAAACGACGGGCAATTCACTGTGATTCAGCTTGTTGGCATGCTGAGAGGCATCGCTGCAGGAATGAAGTACCTTTCCGACATGGGCTATGTGCATAGAGACCTTGCTGCCAGAAACATCTTAATCAACAGTAACCTTGTGTGCAAAGTGTCTGACTTTGGACTTTCCAGGGTGCTGGAAGATGATCCTGAGGCAGCCTACACCACGAGGGTAAGATCTAACAGAATGCATTTCTGAAACACTAGATGAGAGACATTTAATTTTTAAAGATTTTTAAAGGAAATAGCTAAAAGGACATTCCTCTTACATAGGAAGACAGAGAGAGAAAGGGATGATGGGAAGGGAAGATAAAAAACTCAGATAATTCTACTTGTTGGATATCAGCAAATTTATATATTAAACAAATAAAGATTCACTGTATGGGACACAATAATTCATTTTTATTTTCCTACAGATACTGAAAGCAAAATCTTTGAGTTCAAAGTGAATACAACAATATAAAAATTATTGAGAGTTTTAAATGTAAAAAAGAAAGTTAAAGAGAGACTCTCCTATATTAAAAACAATTAATATTATATATATGTGAATATATAAACATGTATAACATTATTGGGTAACTTAAACTCTCTGCACTATAGTGTCTTCATTTATAAAACAAATACAGAAATATGTAAACTTACCTTTTAAGGACTCACATGATAGGAAATAAAAGAACTATTCCTTCAAAAAGTTTTGACTTAGTGGAGGTATTTTAATGCCTAATTACTTGCCTGACATGCTATATTAACTGTTAAGCCCACATCTATGGAAAATTGGTCACTAACTCATGTTGTCATAATTAGCATAAATCAACATCCTTTTCCAGCAAAATAAGTTTCCTGAATCGATATGGTATGTATCCGACAATTCTTTCTGTGGAAAACTGTGGGTATTGGTACAGCAGAATTTTCTGAGCAGTCTATGTAGTGCACGTTTTGAGTGTGAATCCCTTATGAGACACTGTATTTGTTTAATTCTAAATCTTTTCAATGTCAAGATAATATGAAGTTAGATATCCTTAATGTTCCAACTCCTTGTGAAGCTAGAAATATTTATCACTGTATCTTTTTCACTATAAGATTTGGTTTACTTTTGTTTCAATACAGAAGAACACTTCTGGCATCTCACATTCTTAAGATAGATATATTCACATTTGCTTATTTAATTCAATTTAAAAAAAGACTTCTACTCATGGTCTAACAAACTTTTCATAGATGATAAGGCTTTTTTGTTTTTGTTTTTTTTTTCAGTGTTGCTTTGTGACTCATAGATGTTTAGGGACTGTACTATACTGAAAATCAAGAGTAACTTATATAAGCAAACAAAGCCTTCTAATGGTTAGCTTAATAAATCAATAAATTAATTGATGGGATAGCCTTCTTCTTCTAGACCTAATTATCATTGTCATTATTTGCCTTAAATGAAACTTTAATTAAGAATTCTCTTGGGATTAGAGTTACACTTAATAAACTTAGCCTAAGCAAGAAGGAGGTTATAGAAAAATCCATTCCCAGTATGACTGGTTGATGTCTTAGTTAAATGCATAAAATAGATTTGTCAAGGTCTGTGTCAATGTATCATGCTGGGGAGGGGGGAAAGAGAGGAGAAGTGAGGCAGAGTTCCTGAGATCTTCAAGACTTACTCCTCTGAAATGAGCCATGACAGCAGTTTGTGGAAAATCCTTATACTGAGAGATGAGAAGATAAGGGAACTTCAGATAATTGTGACGTCGGATATGGTGGTCAGAGGACCAGAAGAAAAATTCTAGGCTGAAGTTTGAAGTAATCAACAAACTACAATTTTAAGAAAAATAGTGATAATATGTTACAGATATCACAATGACACATAGCCATACCTAATGATGTGAACTTACCTATGAATATTTAATTAACAAAAGTATGTATCAGGAAAGTCTTCTTAAAGTGGTGTTACCATATATATAAGGGACAAATAATTTAAACATAGTTTGAATAGTTCAAATTAACCCCAGCTCACAGAGCAACTTTAAGCATTACATCAAACTTTTATTTCCTCATGTCTTGAAACTTTGGTTCATAAAGAACAACTTAAGTTCCACTTCTTCTAATGTATGAATTAAATTATACTCTCTCTGCAAAATGGGAAGGCATAGGTTAATCTTAATCTTTTTTACAAGAAAATATTCAAAGCCTATGCCTTTCCCCCTTAAATATATTTTTGCCTGTGGATGAAATGTTTGGTTTCCTGGGGTTGCCTGCAAGATATAAAAGTGTTTATTTTGTGAACTAAGTGGAAACCTACCAAACCAATTTTTTTTACCATGTAAAAAACTCCAAACTTGATAATATCATAAGTTTTTCTCCCGCAATCTAATTTCCATAATTTTTAATATGGTTAAATTTAATGAGAGACCTATCTCTTAGGTGAAAACAAAAACAGTCTGTAACAGAACAAACACAAAAATATGTTGGCAGAGGGCGCCTGGGTGACTCAGTCGTTAAGCGTCTGCCTTCGGCTCAGGTCATGATCCCAGGGTCCTGGGATCGAGTCCCACATCGGGTTCCCTGTTCCGCAGGAAGCCTGCTTCTCCCTCTCCCACTTCCCCTGCTTGTGTTCCTGCTCTCGCTATATCTCTCTCTGTCAAATAGATAAATAAAATCTTAAAAAAAAAAAAAATATGTTGGCAGAAAATAAGGGAAGTCAAGTCTAAAAGAAATTGCACAGTGATGGGGGAAAATATAACTATATCTGATTTTCACGCTTGTCTTATTAACTGTTGAACCTCCCAGGGTTGCATTCAGCAATCAAGACTTCCCATTTATAATTCCTATGTTAAAGAAAAAAAAAAGCCCTGGGAATTTGAGTCCTTTACTCTCTGTTAGAAAGTCATGAGTATACCTTATTGATTTGCTGGACTGCCCGCTTTCCCCTCCTCGAGCTGCCATCATGGTACTGTAATTGAGATGTGGGTCCTGTATGTGTCCCAGTAGTCAAACAGAATTTAAACCAGAAACCTTCCGGACAGGCAATTAGTAGTCAGTCTACAAGTGCTTACGGGCTGAGATATGTTGAAAGGAGACTGCGTGCTGTCAGAGATTCACTTAAAAATGCTACATCTCTTTCTGGATCTTTCCAGTGAGGCAGCAATATCCTGAGATTCATTTGAAGTATGTGGGAATTCTTTTATTCTTTTTCAATTTTAGGGAGGGAAAATTCCAATCAGATGGACTGCCCCAGAAGCTATAGCTTTCCGAAAGTTTACCTCTGCCAGTGATGTCTGGAGCTATGGAATCGTGATGTGGGAGGTTGTGTCTTATGGGGAGAGACCCTACTGGGAGATGACCAATCAAGACGTAAGTATGGAACTACTCTCCCTCAAGTTTGGAATGAAATGCTTTGTTCTCTGAGTCAGGACACAGAAAATTTTTCATTTCTCACAATGACAGTTGCCTAAAAAAGTGAAATACTTTACTTACCCTCTGATCTGTTTGGTTGTTGAAATAGCCTTTATGCAAAAATTCAAAATAAGTCAGTACAAAGGAAAGGAAGTTACTGTTACATAAAATCTCAGCCCCTTGCCAGACAGTATTAGCTGTACTATAGTGACGGTTCACTCATTTTATGTCAGTACCATTTTCAAAGCTGAAGAACAAGCCATCAGAGAATGAATACTGACAGCCAAGTTTTTATGATTTGCATTTGATAAAGGCAGCTAATACTCTAAACCAAAAGGATAAATGATACTGATTTAATAGTGGATGCTCTTAGGGAATAAAAAATAAGAATCTACATTTCTTTAAATTAAAAAATGTAAGAAGAATTGGATTGTCTCTTTAATTTAGGGAAAAACAGATATTTTTCTTATATAGAAAAATAATTCACACTTAGAATAATAGGATCCTAAAATTAAAGGAACTGTGAAAGAATCTTCGATTCAAGTTCAGAATGTTTATTATGTGATGCCTGACACATGGCTCTTTGGTCTTTGCTTTTGTAATTTTCCATTGTTACTATTCAATGCAGTCCTTCCCATTTTGGATCACATTGAAATTTGATATTTTCCCTTCAGGTAACAACAACAACTATGAAAGCAGCTAACATTTCTTGAACCTTAACTATGTGCCACATACTGTCTTAAGTGTTTTATCAATTACCTCATTACTTCTTTCTAAAACCAGTATATGGAGCAGTCTTAACAGCATACTGATTTAAAACATTTATTTTTTTTCCTCCAATTATTTCTTTCATCCATGCTCTGTAAAATCTCCCACTCCTATGCCTTCAGGGGTTATTAGACAGATACCAGAGCTCTTCAGCTGCATTTTGTTGAAACAACAGTCCCATGCCAGTAATTAAGATTCAATTTCAGATATAAAAATTCAAGTCCAGTCTAAATCAAAGTCAATGCCATATCCATTTCAAAGTGGTTCCCACAACTACAGAGCCAGCCTGACCCTCACTACCTAGACTGGGAAGGAAGAATGGTCACGTTTTTGCTCCTCTTCCTCCTCCGTCAAAGTTTGCATCTAGATTTTTCAGAGTTGTCCTTGATGGATATGTAGAAAAGACAGGGCAAAGGGTGCCTGGGTGGCTCAGTCGGTTAAGCGGCTGCCTTCGGCTCAGATCTAGCCTCGCATCTGTCTGCCTGCTCGGCGGGGAGCCTGCTTCTCCCTCTCCCTCTGCCTGCCTCTCTGCCTACTTGTTCTCTCTCTGTATCTCTCTGCCAAATAAATACATAAAATCTAAAAAAAAAAAGAAAAGAAAAGAAAAAAAGAAAGGAGAGAAAGGGCAAGATTGTTTTTATGTGAGTTTGCTGATGCCTCCCGTGAGTCAGACACCCGAACACTGGTTCTCTAGTGAGGTATGTGTCAGAGCTCTTGCACAGACCCCGGGGAGGGCCTTGTTTTGCGGTGGCTAGAGGATGAGGATGCACTCGCAGTTCCCAGGGTTCCTCTCACTTGCCGCCTTCTCCCAACCTCACGGTCTCTCGCCGTATAGTACACGTGTGTATTTCACCTGAGGGGAAACTCCTGGTGGGTTGCTCTGCTGTTGTTATTTTATTTTATTTTTTTTAGATTTTTATTTATTTATTTGACAGAGATAGACACAGTGAAAGCAGGAACGCAAGCAGGGGGAGTGGGAGAGGGTGAAGCAGGCTTCCCGCCTCGATCCCAGAATTCTGGGATCATGACCTGAGCCAAAGGCAGACGCTTAACGACTGAGCCACTCAGGTGCCCCTGCTGTTGTTCCTTCTTTTAGACTATTATTGCAGACTGCTCCAGTCAGCCTGCCTTCTTCAAATTTCTCTGGGTGAGAAACCAGGATCACACTTCAGCTTTTCCAAAAGTTATTTCACAGCGTTCTTCTCTGATAGCAACAGTAAATTTGGCTTAATGCATTCCCACTTCTCAACAAGCCTATGGCAAGGCAGCCAACCGCCCCTTTTTGTAGTTACCTCAAAGTGCTACAATTGGTTTTCTTTGTGTCCCAGTCACTTGGCTTTGGGAGGGAGTGCTGACTTATATTTCTCCCTATTTGGGAGAACATA